AAAGTGTTTTTTCCTTAACAGTTACATCAAACTTCATAATCTCATAACCAGCAATTATTTAGATTTAATACACTTTTTTACTCTTGTCTTTGCTTACCACTGATTCTTGTGATACATAGTATGTAAGTATACATCTTGTGTAGTATGCTATTCCCTTCTTGGGTTCTCTATTCTGACATAAATTTTTATTTGTTTGGAGAATTTCTTTAGGTTTTATTCAGGAGAGAGTACATAAACAGCATATTTTCTGAGTTGCTGACTGCTGAAAATGCCTTGTCTTTCCCCTTGTGATGATGTGGCTGGCTGTAGACTTCTAGGGCTATACTCTCCTTTCCTTGGACCAGGTGGGATCTCAAGGGTCTCTGCTTGTGGTTTCTGCTATAGCCTTATTTCACTGTTAGCCACTATTTTAAACATCTCAGCATATGAATTAGTTAGCCTCTTGTGTTAATTTGTTTTATGTCAAGAGCCATTTATCCTGATGGCTCAGTTTGGTTAGCCTCTTTTAAGTTGCTGATTTGTCCCCTGACTTTTCCTTGGTTGTCAGTTTGTGTTCTCTCTGGCCCTTCTCAATTTAGCGGGACAACTACTGTTCCCTTGTCCATATGCAGTATATGGGTGCTTAAGCTTTTCACTCATTGGACAATAATATTTGCCATTCCAAAATAAGTCTTTAGGCTTTCAGGAATCTCTTAGAATTATAGGTGTCCAGCTGGGATGTCTGCTGGATCTAGAGGTATCATTGTGTGTTGTATTTGGTGTCCCCAGATGTTGTTACAATACATCATATCCTATGGCTAGGGCTAATAGCTGGCAGAAGAGGGTTTGGACGATCAGGCTGCTACAGGGCATTCCATTCCATTTCTTCCCTGAGAGGATGCACTCCATGGCAGCTCGGTACAATTTTCCATGCACAGTCACTCCCAAGTAGCAACATCTCCCCGACCTGGATCAGACCTGGGTGACTATTTGTTTCACTTTATCCCTGAATCTCAATCTGGTTATTCTCTTGAGCCTTGGACAAAAAGGACCAATTACATTTTCCTATTTCTTGGAAAAATTATCTTTAGAATAATAACTTTTTAATGTCACTGTTTTTTTTTCAGTTTTTATTTTGAAATAGACCATGAAGGCCAAAAAGTATACATAGTGAATACATGTAAAGATCAATAATAAAACAAATGGCCATGTACCTCCCACCTAACTGAAGAAATGACTTCTGTTCTTCTAAATAAGGCTATTTTGTGATTCTAAGTGGATTCTCCCTCTCCCTTTCCTGAGGTCGTGGGTTTGAGGTAGGTATTGTGTATGGCTTTAGTAACTCCACAGCAGTTTTCTCAGCACTTCTTTCTGAAAAATGAGGAAAAAATACAAACATAGTGTATACAGGGCACCCTGAGTTGTTTGCAAACGGAAGTCTAGATGATTACGCTTAGTGGTTGGTGTGGCTGTGCAGGTCACCATTGGTTTCTCTTGGCAGGTGTTCCCTGGCCCACTGCTAACCCACATGGCACCTTTGTGTGAATAAGAAAAAGCCACTCTTGCCATTTGCCAGAAATTTTCTGTAATAGCTCTATGCACAAAAATCTATAATGACTATGCGTGTGGCTAGCACCTCCTGGAGTTTACAGGCCGCACTACAATTCATGGTAAACACAGAGCTCCTCAGGTGGGCTTTATCAAACATTTACTGAAAGCCTTCTGTGTGCCAGGCACTCTCCTCGATGCTTGGGATTCAATGCTGAGCTAGACAAGATCCCTGCTCTCATGGATGCACCATGGCTAGGCTTAGGAGCAATCTGTTTTTTGGGTACATGAGCTGGGAGTCAGCTGACAAGCTGGAATTGTCCTTAAGCTGGGGCAGGGCCCTGTGGTTTCTAACAAAGTGGGTCAGGCTTAAATTTATTTAGCATGTTGTCTATGCCAGGTACACCCTGAGAGGCTATGCTGTACCAAGCTGATGAGTTCAGAGCTCAGGTGGGGTACTTAAGTACAGGGTGACCATATTTCCTGGTTTACCCTAGATAATCCTGGATGAAATCTCTTGTCTCATCTGGTTATTAATATCACCTCTTTTCCCTCTTAGCCTTGGACAATAAATTATAGGGTCACATATATTGGTCAACTTTTTGCCATGGGAGCCAACACCTTCAAAATCTTAGTGACTTGAAAGAGTAACTATCTAGGTTTTGCTCATGGATCTGGAGATCAGCTGCAGCTCTGCCCAGTCTGTGGGTCAGGTTCAAGTTTGCTGCTCATTCTGGACTTTGTGCCACAGTCATCCCATGATGGCACCCAAGCTGGAAGATCAGCCCTTATATGAGACCTCTTCTTCTCATGGCAGAAGGTGGGAGCCCAAGAGTCCTGTGGTTTGAGGTGGCATGGGCCGTATCTACTTATATTACATTCACTAGAGCAAGTCACAGGGCCAAGGCCAACATCGGGAGATATTCTCCTCCCTCAAGGGGCGCTGTGGTGGGGGAGAGTGAACATTGGATAAATAATACAGTTATCACATCGCACTTCTAAACCCTACTGCCTTCCAGTGTACCCTTCCTCTAGGCATTGCTGGTGCTCTCCTATGTGTGTGTCAGGACAGTGCTGGAGTGATTAACAGGACGTAAGGAAGGAGTTTTGCTTCCATTTAAATTACAGGATGTATTAAGGGATTTCACTGTGGTGTGGAGCCTGTTTGGTTTCTAGATTTCATTGGAGGGAGTGGAGGTTGATGTTTTCTGTGGCAGCCTGATTAACAAGGACAGGGTCCCCTTCCCTGGGCTTCCAGCATCGCCACCTATCACAGAAGTTGCACTAACAAAGTTTCCACTCTATTGTGTGAGTTGACAGCATCAGGTGGAGCCAGTGACCAAACCACGCTCCCCACTACCTTGTGTTGGGGCTCTACGAAGGGTGATTTTAGTGCCCGTTACTTTACCCCCACTGACTAATCTTCATTCTCCATCCCTGCCCTTGTTGCATAACTGGGGTTTTTTATTTTTGTTTTTTTTTAATTTTTATTTTTCCCTTGGTGTCCCTTCATTTGCCTGGGTTAAGTGTCCAGCACTGATTGGCTTTTCCTTTAAAACAGTTCCAGCAATTCCTCCACGTTACTGGTTCACTGATGGATTGATGGCACCCATCCTTGTTTTCCATTGTTATATAGTTTGCTTATCCCATTTCAGCGGGACATGAGGAGAGGAAAGTGGCAAAGATTTGGGCTCAGCTATCCATGTGGAACTCCAGTGTTTTCAAACAGAGATGTAATATTGTTTTGCCATAAGAGCAAAGATTGATTGGGAGTCATAGAAGATATACATTAGATCCCTCACCAGCCCTGGCAGCTGGCTTTCTGTCAAGAGCAATTTTTCACAAAGAAACTATTTTATCACTTCTTAAGAATGATCAAGTATCCGCAGAGTCATATTGAAAAGCACAGGGATGATAGGTGGTCAGCTTGACTCAGTAGATAACTGATTTGCAGGAAGGGTTCACATGCATGCCTCAGCAGAAATACAAATTTTCACATATCATGGATTGTGGAGTGCTGTAGATAGTTGAAATTGTGGCTGTTAAATAGCTAATTTCTAATAATTTTTTCCTTCACTAGAATATAATTCTATGAAGGTATGGAATGCATCTGTCATGTTCTCCATTGTATCTCCAAAGCCTAGCACAATACCTGGCATGAATGGATATTCAGAAAACTTTTGCTGAAGCAATGCAAATATTAATGATGGGCAGTAAAGGAGTAACCTGGGGAGAGTCCTTGGAGCCCCTGAATGTGGTGGAGCACAGTAAGAGCAGGTCGGGTACTCTTTAAAGTAAGGGGTTTACAGCTACCACGGCGTCAGGAATGAGTGTGGGTTGATAACTCAGCCTCTCTGGCTCTACTATGGGGTGAGATGGAAGCGTGGAGGGCTTCGTTCTGAGAGTTAAGAGCACAGCCGCTGGACGCTAGCCGAGGCCATGGGGCTGCTGTCCAGGCATCAGATGCTGTTGTTGCCCAGACACAGCCCCTCACCCTGACCACTTGAGCGCATGCTTGCTGGCCTCCAGGGCCAGCCCTTTCATTTATTTGAATGTGCAATTCTTCTGGCCACTGAAACCTATTTTGCCACTCATGCTGCAAGTTGGAAATGTCCCTTGAGAGCTGCCCTCAAATCAGTGACTGAAAGGAGTTGATGTTATAAATAGCCCATGTCCCTGGCTCCTGGGGTGGGGAGACTCTAGGTGTGTGGAGCCCCCCCCCCCCGCAGGCTTAACCTTCAGTCCTCCACTGTGGTAACTGGCTTGCTAAATCCCCCTTTACTGGCTTCCCTCCCTGGACCACTTCCCTACTCCCCTACCTGTGTTTTCTTCACCTTCTCAGTAAACCAAACTTGTCTCAGGTCTGTTACTGGGGAGACCCAAGCTAGGACAGCCGTTCCTGGGTCCAGGGGACCCTGACCACTGGAACATGGATATTCCTAGGACTTCAGAGGATTTGAGCTTTACTTTGCTTAGACCCTTAAAAGTTAATATCAAAAATAGAAAAAAAGCACTCTAATTTCTCTTGCTTTAAAATGTCATTACTTAAACAATTCCCAAATTGTATTGTGCAGCTCTCCAAGATGACCGAGGTATTTTTAAGGGCAGTTGAAACTACCCTGGTTTCAGTTGGTTCAGGCAATATCAGTGATTTGTGCTGTGGGATAGGGTCTCTGTTGACTTGCAGGGCCTTCCCAGTCTCCTGAGTATACCCTGCCTCTTGCTATAGCATATAGCAGGCTGTTTATTGTTTCTGAACACAGCCTGCATGTTACCTCCTCTGTGCTTGCATCCAAGTCCTCATTGTTGGTGCCTCAGAAGCAGGTGACCCAGCAGCATCCCAGCTTGGCCTTCCGCAGCCAGCTCCTGAGGGATGAATGGATGCGAGGGTCATTCTGTCTGTGCTGTGCAATGGGTGGGCACCAGGGTGGGGACAGCATTCCTACTGACCTTCGATCTTTGCTTCTTTGCAGATATCTCGGTGAGCCTGCTGACCCTTGTAGTCACTGCCTGTGGCCTCGCTCTCTTTGGTGTGTCTCTCTTTGTGTCTTGGAAACTCTGCTGGGTTCCGTGGCGAGAAAGAGGCCTGTTCTCTGGTAGCAAAGACAACAACCAGGAGCCTCTTAACTACACGGACACAGAGACCAATGAGCAAGAGAACAGTGAGGGCTTCCTAGACCCTCCCAGCCCCTGCCCGGACTCCTCCATGAAGATCAGCCACACCTCCCCTGACATCCCCCTCTCCAACCAGGCGGAGGGCCAGGAGAACTGTGCCCATGGTGTCCGCATGCAGCGCCAAGTCACAGAGCCAACCTCGTCGACTCGGTCAGTAATGCTTCCTTGCTTTCCGAATGCAAGGCAAGGACCACCCCACCCCCCACTCTTGGCAGCAATGGCATTGAGTAGCCAAGGAGCCTGTGACCTTTCACATGTCCATTTGGTACCAGAGGTATGATTATGGGAAAACTCGGTGCGTCCTGTATTCCAGTGAGGTTCCTGAGCTCTGCTTAATCTCTGCTTAGTCCATCATAATAATAGTTACCATTGCTAAGACTTACGGTGTCTAAGAACGTTATCTACGTTATTTTATTATAGCTCACAGCTTCGTGAGAGACGGATCCTATTATCTTTTTCATTTGAGAGAAGAAACTTAAGGAGATTAAGTAACAAAGTCATATATTGTTAAGCACCCAGATCAGGGTTTGAACCCTGGTTTAGTCAACGCGAGAGCCTGAGTGTTTAACCACTCCTGGTGCTGTAGAGTGTATCCTTTGTGCCTCTGACCTAGCCCTAGCTGTCACACATGGGCTTTCTTCATACTCTACAGAGTGGCTGGAGGCCTTTGTTCATCTCCAGCCTTGGCAAGACCTACAGAGTGCCCAGGCCTAAGGTCACTCTCTTTCTGTGGCTGGATGCTTTGTGCTCTTAAGCAGTGGAGAAATAATGTAGTGATAAAAGCAAGGGCTCTGGGGTCCAGTGAACTGGCTTTACCTATATACATGATATTGGACACATTACTCAACTTCCGTATGTTTCCATTTTCTCTCCTGTAGAAGAAATAGTGATAGCACTGACATATAGGTGGTTCTGAGAATGAAATGATGACATGGGCATCATGTGCTTTGCGCAGGCCTGCACTTAGTAAGTACTCCAAAATGTGAGCTGCCTTTTTGCTTTCAGTGTTTCTATTATCAGCATGATTATCATTGAGACTGGCCTTTCCCAAGACTCAGATGTTGCATAAAGGTGGCTTTGAAGTTAAACAGCCAATTCTGAATCACTGGATATAAAAATTCACTTTCAATGGGAGATTTTAGGAAAAGAGGCTCAGAAAGCAGCTTTCTTTAAAATGAAAATATTTGCTTGAGCGATAGCCAGAGGAATAGCTTGTGCTGTTATTTGGAAAGTATGAGCACAGTTCGGGCATATTTTTTTTTAAATCTTTTTTATTTGTTCTCTAGAAACAGAAATAAGATTTTACCCTTTTTTATGTTAATCGAGTTTATCCTAGAGGCTCTGCTCATTCACATTAAGTGGGATGGAATATGACAGTTTATAATTTAATTTTTTCAGAAACCTATTTTAGCATCATTTCCAATTCTGAATCAAAGTGCTAAACCTAAAATATTCCTCTGTGAGGAAATGGATGGTTGTTTGCCATTTGATTTAGAAGATATTCTCAGATTTTATCACCAGGATTTCTCTTCAGATTTAACACTTAAATATTACTGGAGCTGTCTTTGACGCTCTCAGTACTTCAATAATTGGAGCCTTTCAGATGGAGTCTCCCTTGAAATTGTCTCCTATTCGGTTTTATTTTGCATATTCATTTTTCTGAATTGGGTTCCATCAATACAGGGTGATAGTACTGTGTTTTTATTAGATTATAGATCTGAGGACTCTGCCATAAGTCTAATGAGTGATAGCAATCATATCATAATTATCACAATATTTATTCTAGAAAAATGTGTAAGTACTCTGCGTATCAAGAAATATGTTTTATTTAAAAATGAAAACTATAGATATCTTCACCACTGATTTATGGAAATTAAGTGGAAAGAAAAAAATTAAAAGAGAAGAGGGAAGGAATTATCCCCATAAAATGTATTTTACATTAAGATTTATTTTAGGAGTAATGCAATTAAATTCTTTTCTGATGGCCAAAACAAGTTTGGTACCATCTGAACTACTATAAGAAAACTTAACTCTTTCCATCTGCATTTGACCTAATACTGATAATTTGCATCGTCATTCATTTAAAACATTCTTATCTAAATTACTGACCTAGATTTATGGGTTATGTCTGGAAATACATATCTTTGACTTATGATCTTTCTATAATAAGAATGGTGTATGGTCTTCTAATTCTTTAGGGATTATGTTATATTATAAACACACACACACACAAACACACACACACACACACACACACACCCTTTTTACTGAAAAATGAGAAAACGAGTGAAATTTCCTTCATTTTCCAAAACATTTCTAATATATATATATATTTTTAGCTGAGCCATCCTGCCACCTGTTGGCAGCTCAGCGGCTGCTCAGCTCAGGCCGGGACTCGAACCGCTGTTCCTCAGAGCTCAAACTCTTGAGCGAGCTCTTAACCAACTGAGCCACTCGGCCAGTCCTTCTAATATTCTTTTTTAAGTAACATTTTTGACACCGTATTTGGAGAGGGTGGAGGTAATTTTCGCTGAGATGGCTCTAAGCAGTCTGCTCTGCTAGTTATTATTTCTTCTCCCATCTTTCTCATTATGTTCTTTCTCAGTGCTGTCACTTTCTTTCTTACTGCTTCTTCTCCTGTGGATGTTATCACTTATCCCCAAATTCTCAGAACACCTCCTCAGCCCAGAGCACGTAAGGCTTAGACAGCCCGGGAAGGGCGTCCTCACTGTCATTGCAGCGGGCATAGCTTCTGTCACGGCATTTACGTCAGATGTCCCGCCTCTTCCAGCTTCTTCAGCTTGGACATGTGTGGCTCCCGTCAGTGATTTTTGGAATGTCCTAAATATGAGCTTTGTTTCATCTTCTAAGAGTGTTTCTGGTCAAGATGACTTTCTGTTCTTCTAAGATCGAACACATTAGCATTCTGTTTCTAGTTAGCACAGTTATTATTAGAACCCTCCAAAATTACAGTGAAACCTTGGATTGCGAGTAACTTGTTTTGCAAGTGGTCCACAAGACAAGCAAACATTTCTAATACATTTTATTTATTTATTTTATTTATTTATTTTTTAAAGATTTTATTGGGGAATTAGGGGAGGGGAACACTGTTGGGGAATTGAGGAGGGGGACCAGCCAAGTTGTTGTTCTTCAATCTTAGTTGTGGAGGGCGCCAGTCACCATCTGGCTGCGCTTCTGCAGCTCGTGGCCTCTAAGCTCAAGGTGCTGTGTTCAATTTTAGTTGTGGGTGGGCATAACCACCATCCCATGCGGAAGTCAAACCAGCAGCCTTCTTGTTAAGAGCGCACGCTCTATCTACTGAGCCATCCGGGCGGCAGCTCAGCTCAAGGTGCTGAGTTCAGTCTTAGTTGCGGGTGGGCATAGCCCACCATCGACCAAGCAATCTTGTTGTTACCCCGGCTGAGCCATCCTGCCACCTGTTGGCAGCTCAGCGACAGCTCAGCTCGGGCGCAGCTCACTGGCCCATGTGGGAATCAAACCAGTGGCCCTGTTGCTCAGAGCTTGCGCTCTTAAGCCAGCCCTTAACCAACTGAGTCACTTGGCCAGCCCTCCAATACATTTTAACGTGGTAAATGAGTGATGTCTTATAATACAAGTAGTTTGTTTCCAGAACGAATTATGCTCGCAAACCAAGGTATTACTGTATTGTTAATTCTTTTTACAGTAATTGGGATGAAATCTCTTTTGCATAATGACCTAATATCCTGGGAATGTAGGGACTTTTTTTCCAGAATTTTTAAATACCAAAACATTTTAAAGGCCTCTATTCCAAATATATGAAAATCCCTGGATCCTCAAAATGGAAGGAACCTTGAAAGTCCATCTAATCCATTATCCATTTTATGTCTCAAGATAGAAGTCCAATCTGTTTTTCAAGTCTTCTCAAATTTCCTATGCAATGTATAATGCATGTGTCTAGAGTAAGTATATGAATGTCATGGACATAATAGTTCCTGATGTTTAAATCCCAGTAGAGAAAGTACACATTTACATCTAGTTTGAGGGGCTCGTGGAAGTTAAGAGAGATCTAGGCACCTTGCATTTTGAAGCTGTCAGTTTATTAAAATCTGAAGAAGTAACTAAAAGAGTAATTTTAAAAATTTTTATGTTTTAAATGTTTACATCTAAGGGCCGGCCGAGTGGCTCAGTTGGTTAAGAGCTCGCTCAAGAGTTTGAGCTCTGAGCAACAGCGGTTTGAGTCCAGCCCGAGCTGAGCAGCCGCTAAGCTGCCAACAGGTAGCAGGATGGCTCAGCTAAAAAAAATAATAATAATAAATTAAAAAAAAATAAATGTTTACATCTAGCCAATGCTCTCAGCACACAAAAAAGTCTAGCTTTTAGAATTGTGCTCCTCATAAGAGTAATTACAACATTTAATCCTAGTATTAAATCCACTTACTGGAGTTTTGTAAAAATTTCAATTACTGCACCACAAACTCCTTATCAGGTCTGTTCAGGCTCTGTGTGATAGTGCCACAGCCTGCTTCTATCAGCTGTCAGCCTCACCTCTTGGCCAGGGCCACCATGGGGCACAACCCCAGAGGACACTGTTAACATGGGTTCAGTAGGAGGCTTGACATGAAAAAGCTCATCACATTCCATCTACACTCGCCAGCCTCTCTCTTAGTTCCTTCAGTATCCTCCGCCCTTGTCTGCCTTGAGACCTTCACACATGCTGTTCCCTCAGCCTGGAATGCTTTTCCTTTTCTTTGCCATGCCCGGCTCCTTTGCAGCTTTCGTACCCACCTAAAATGTCACCTCCTTAGAACGGCCTCCCTGACCACCTTATCTGAAGTGTGTATTCTTTCCCCCATTCCCTCCCACTCTTCTTTCTCCCACACATAGCCTTGCTTTCACTTCTTCACAGAATTGAACTCTATTCCTAACTAAATGCTTGTGCGTTTATCACCTATACCCCTTCTAGACTATGAGTTATGTGAACTGAAAGACACACCCGCTTTGTTTTTCTCTATATATCTATCCTGGGGGCCAGCTTCTTTAAGAAAGTGTTAGAATATGACTCATTTACAGAGGACACAGTCTCTCAGCTTTCCTTGTCACACCCTGTCCTTGGGGCCCACCTCCTCTCTTTCCATTCGTTGTGCACGTTAAGTCCTGAGAACACCAAGATACAGGACTCCCCAGACCTACTCAGAGGACTGCCTGCTTCAGACACAGATCACTCCTTATCACACACACTCAGTGTCACTCAGCAGCATTAAAATTTGAGACCCTGGGCGGGGAATGGGGGTGGGAAGGGCGCTAGTTTATTGCACTCAAGTACCACCTCCACTGACCATCTTAGAACCCCTCATCTGGGGTGATGGGACGCCAAGTCACAACGTTCTATTCTC